CACGCGCCGGCTGTCGAGAACGCGCTCAGGACAGTTCGGACATTGCGGTGAATCCGAGGTAAAAAACGATATAAATACTGTTCAATTTCTTTTTTATCGTCACGAGCCGCACTGTTTAATTTGGTTTTGTTTGTGTATGCTTTTTTGACTCTCAAAGCCATGATTCCCATTCACTTCCATTATATGACTGACAGACTGCAACGGTTTGAGTTAAAAATCTCCGTTTGTGTTCTACTGAAGAAACAAAGTCACCTACATCTTGATCTTAGATCAAATTTTCATTTTTGGGTGAACTATCCCTTTAATATGTGAACTAATCTGACTGTGTTGCATTCATTGATCAGATAGAAAGATGTGCTTTTATGTCATGTAAACAACACATTTTGGTTTGCATCAGGTACTTTAGATTGTTGTTGGAAATTATGTAAATATGTCAGCGGCACTGGAAAAAAAAAATGTTGGTGTGGGATTTACAGTTTCTACTTAGAAATTAGTACATTTTACAAATAGTTACCAAAAAAAGTAGACAGACTGAAATAGTGCTTGTAAAAACATACTCCAAAAATCTTTGAAATTTTTTTTTTTTTACATTGAGGGTGAAGTAATCAATGACTAATCAGTGAATGACATTCACTGTACAAGCTTTTGATGTTTCTGTGGAATCATCCATTAAAATGATAAACAAAATCAGTGTTTTTCACTGTATGCTGTGGTTTTCCAGCAAAAGTGTGTATGAATTTACAGCTGTCGCTATAATTAGTGAGAATATTGGCAGAGCAAGTACAAATGTGAACAGCGACTGCTTCATGTGCGGTAATATGATAAACTGCACCAAAACACTCTTGACAGAACAACTCTACTGTATTTGCTACTGTACTGTCAGATATAATTGTCCCAAAAACGCATTATATTTCACATATTTTACATTATTGCAGCACCTCTCTTCCCAGTCTGTCTCAAACAACCTGGGGTGCGTTTCCCAAAAGCATTGTTCGCTAACTATAGATGCAAGTTCCATTGAACTCTGTTTGTAACTACAGAACTTTTGGGAAATGGACCCCTGTTTAGTTCCTGTTTCAATGAAGCCTCTCCTTCCGAGATACAAAATGTGCTCTGATGGGTTAGCTGGCCCAGTGTGTTGTGATTGGTGAACCGTTTATAGCGTGTTCCAGAAATGTCACACCCCTTACCATAACGGCGAGTTTCATCTCCTCACCTGTAAATATTAACGATGGCGTCAATTTTGCCAGACCAATTTGAGCCTGATTGAGACCCTGAGAATGTTTAGGACAAGAAGATCATGCAGAACCTTTGCAAGCACAGATTTTACAGGAGTGGTATGTTGTTGTTTTTTTTACAGTCTATGGCATAGACTGTAAAAAAGATGGACAAAGCGTCTTTACTTCCTTCCACTATAGAAACGTGAAGCCAAAACATCCCAGTATGACCGCTGTCATCTTGCGAAAATTACGTCATTTGGAGCCTGTGTCTGCACTGCGCAGTAGTGAATCGTTTAGAGCTTGAGTCTGCACAGTAGTGAATAATTTGGAGTTTGAATCTGCGCAGTAGTGAATCGTTTGGAGCCCTTGGAGCCTGCGTCTGCACTGCGCAGTAGTGAATCGTTTGGAGCCCGAGTCTGCGCAGTAGTGAATCTTTTGGAGCCCGAGTCTGCACAGTAGTGAATCGTTTGGAGCCCGAGTATGCTCTGTAGTGAATCGTTTGGAGCCCTTGGAGCCTGAGTCTGCACTGCGCAGTAGTGAATCTTTTGGAGCCAGAGTCTGCGCAGTAGTGAATCGTTTGGAGCTTGAGTCTGCACAGTAGTGAATAATTTGGAGTTTGAGTCTGCGCAGTAGTGAATCGTTTGGAGCCCTTGGAGCCTGAGTCTGCACTGCGCAGTAGTGAAGCTTTTGGAGCCAGAGTCTGCGCAGTAGTGAATCGTTTGGAGCCCGAGTCTGTGCAGTAGTGAATCGTTTGGAGCCCTTGGAGCCTGAGACTGCACTGCGCAGTAGTGAATCGTTTGGAGCCAGAATCTGCGCAGTAGTGAATAGTTTGGAGCCCTTGGAGCCTGAGTCTGCTCTGTAGTAAATCGTTTGGAGCCCTTGGAGCCTGAGTCTGCACTGCGCAGTAGTGAAGCTTTTGGAGCCAGAGTCTGCGCAGTAGTGAATCGTTTGGAGCCAGAGTCTGCGCAGTAGTGAATCGTTTGGAGCCAGAGTCTGCGCAGTAGTGAATCGTTTGGAGCCCTTGGAGCCTGCGTCTGCACTGCGCAGTAGTGAATCGTTTGGAGCCCGAGTCTGCGCAGTAGTGAATCTTTTGGAGCCCGAGTCTGCACAGTAGTGAATCGTTTGGAGCCCGAGTCTGCGCAGTAGTGAATCTTTTGGAGCCAGAGTCTGC